ACGTATAATCGCGTTAGGAATCTTCTACCGGCCGTTGAGTCGCACTCGGTGAAATCGACACTGCGACCATCGACGCGATGCCGATGCGAAATCATCCAGAATCTATAGCAGCGCCCGCCAGGTGCTCTTGCCCATCCTGTCGTTATAGACAAGGATTTTCCGTGCTCGCAGGTGCACCCATCGCGGTTGTCTGGTGGTTATGGGGCTCTCGGCTGGTCACCCGAATGTCTCCGGATCGAATGCAGTGCGCGCAGCGGCCACGTTGCGATCGATTGATGATTTATATGTGGGGTTTAAAGTCCCAAAACCACCATATGATTATGAGAGACGCCGTAGTAAAGACCTCCGGATCACCCAAATCTGAGCACACGAACCTATACAGCATTTCCGCCTCTATCGAAAATGCAGCCGCCGCAGCCGGGATTCGATCCCGCGATCAGCAGCCGAGTACCTTAGCCCCTGGAACACCGCGGCGGGGCACACATTGCGATGGAGGCGGAAATGTTTGAGGCTCGTGTGCACGTCAAAAAACTACAGGTTGTCGAAACTTCAAGAGCCCTCGACGGCGGCGTATTTCAATCACATTGTTGTATTAGGACGCAAAACTCCGAGGAACGAATGAGCAGAACAGTGTCCAGCTTGTCCCTGTCGCATGCTCGTCACCCGTGTTTCCTCGCCGTTAGTTATGACGTCTATATCGTTAGTTAGGACGTCTATGACGTTAGTTACGATGTCTATATATAAACCAAACAACCTATCTACTCTTCTGCGAGGCAGGAGAATAAATAAGTGGTCTGACTGATATAGATTCGCGATCTGCTTTGGGAGCTCTGACGAGCATCACGGAGAAGAGCAAGACATGAGCCGAACTTTTCAGTTTCTCCTCTTGTGCCTTGTTTTAATCTACAGACCGTTTGAATCGCGTGAGGAGGGCCGGTCTGGCAACCAGCGCTTTCCCCCATCCTGGCTAGTGCGTGAAGGCGCGGAGGTTGCTGGATAATTAGCGTTCTCGAACAATTTTTGCATATTTTAGGTCTGCCTGCGGATTTTCAACATTTTAATTGCGATGTCAGCCAGGCGTTGGCACACCGGGCCGTGCCCTTCCCGGAAACTATTTTGTCAGACATCATCATCATCATCATCAGCCTGACTACGTCCACTGCAGGACAAGGGCCTCTCCCATGTTCCATCAGTTAACTCGGTTCTGTGCTTGCTGCTGCCACTTTACACCCGCAAACTTCTTAATCTCATCTGCCCACCTAACCTTCCGTCTTCCCCTAAACCACTTGCCTTCTCTGGGAATCCAGTTAGTTGCACTTAATGACCAGCGGTTATCCTGTCTATGCGCTACATGCCCGGCCCATTTTCATTTCCTCTTCTTGATTTCAACTATGATATCCTTAACCCCCGTTTGTTCTCTAATCCACTCAGCTCTCTTCTTGTCTCTTAAGGTTACACCTACCATTTTTCTTTCCATTGCCCGCTGCGTCGCCCTCAATTTAAGCTGAACCCTCTTTGTAAGTCTCCAGGTTTCTGCTCCGTAGCTAAGTACCGGCAAGATACAACTGTTATATACCTTCCTCTTGAGAGATAGTGGCAATCTACCAGTCATAATTTGAGAGTGCTTGACAAATGTGCTCCACCCGATCCTTATTTTTCTAGTTACTTCAATGTCATCGTTCGGCTCCGCGGTTATTACTTGCCCTAAGTAGACATAGTCTTTTACAACTTGAAGTGCACTATTACCTATCTCGAAGCGCTGCTCTCTTCCGAGGTTGTTGTACATTACTTTCGTTTTCTGTAGATTAATTTTAAGATCCACCTTTCTGCTCTCCTTGTCTAACACCGTAATCATGAGTTGCAATTCTTCCCCTGAGTTACTCTGCAATGCAATGTCATCGGCGAAGCGCAGGTTACTAAGGTACTCTCCATTAACTCTTATCCCTAACTGTTCCCATTCTAGGCCCCTGAAAACCTCCTGTAAGCACGCGGTAAATAGCATTGGGGAGATTGTATCCCCCTGCCTACCGCCCTTCTTGATTGGTATTCTGTTGCTTTCTTGCGTTCCATATGCAGGACATATGGAACGCAAAATGACCATTGGCCTGCCGGGCCTTCACTCTAGATCAAGGAGGTTTACCTCCTGAAAGGAATTTTTACCTACGCTCCCCCAGCCAGGGAAAGGTGAAGGGGAAACCGTTGTGCTGTTTTTGGTTTTTTAATAATTACAGACTGAATACGAATGCGACGTGCATCACCAAACGCGGAGTGTTTCCAGCTGCGGACTATATTCAGGGCACATCGCTCTAAGTCGGCAGGTGTCGCAAGATATCAAGAATGCACAAGATCGAATACGGTCTGATTGGTGAACAAGCATAAGTAGTAAAGCATGACCTTGCCCGGTAAAGTGCGAAACACCGTAGCGCCACTCGTGTCGTTAACTAACATTCCTCGGTAGCCACGTGTGATGTTTTCCCTTCCCTTTATTATTATTTTTAATACGATGTGCGTGGTATAACAATTAGCCTGGTAGCTCGGCTCAACGCGGTTATAGCTGTAATTGATGTAGCGTTATTAGCACGGGCGAGAGTTCCCTCACGTCGCAGCGGGATAACCGGCGTCACACTTTTACTTTGTGCTCCGCACTGGCATTTTGAAAGCCGGACATTCAGGTAAAAAGGACGTGGCAAGACCCTTGTCGTGCGGTTACAACTTCAAGACAACGGGATGTACCGCAGGTGATATGCGATATAAAAGCCGAGCAGTTAAAAAAAAGTTTTGTCGTTTTGTGTGTGGAACAACTTTTCAATAATAATTCAGGATTTTTTTTTTTAGGTGGTGAAAAAACTGTGTTCGACAAGTCCCGGAATGATATATATCCAACGCAGCGAATTTTCTCATCTTTCCTATAGTGACAGCAGAAATTTCGCAGAAAACAGTTCATCTGCTAGAAAATTTTGTTAACCCGGCCCCGCCGCGGTGGTCTAGTGGCTAAGGTACTCGGCTGCTGACCCGCAGGTCGCGGGTTCGAATCCCGGCTGCGGCGGCTGCATTTCCGACGGAGGCGGAAATGTTGTAGGCCCGTGTGCTCAGATTTGGGTGCACGTTAAAGAACCCCAGGTGGTCGAAATTTCCGGAGCCCTCTAGTAGGGCGTCTCTCAAAATCATATGGTGGTTTTGGGACGTTAAATCCCACATATCAATCAAATTTGTTAACCCGATCATAGACTCTAGCCCGAGCGTGCATCGTGGCCCACCGGTAGAAGGAACTTTAACCGTTGTCACCTTATCGCTGCCTACAGCCAGTAAAAAAAAAAAAAAAAAAAAACCCAAACGTGCCGGCATAGCAACATTTTTATATACCATCATCTTCCTGTGAACAGCTGTAATTTCGTCTGCACCTGGGGCAATTTAAACGAGCGAATAATGAACCATAATTTCAAAGTTGAAAAACAAGATAAACAACAGTTTGTGAGCAACGAAAAGATGCCGTCCACGCCACGACATTAGAGAGTTTTAGTACTGCGTACGTTGCGTACGTGGCGGCGTTGCGTACGTAAGGACGCCACGTTCTGTGTAGTGCGCATGCGCAGACCGCAACGCGCACGTATCGCGTTACGTACGCAGCCACTACGTACGCACGCATGAGATGCGTGCGTGCTTACGTATGAGGTGATCGCGCCGCTCTCGAAAATGTTCGCGAAAGCGCGAGACTTCGTTTTGCAAAATTGCGGCATTGAAGGCAAGCACCGACCGGCTGTGTGGCTTAAAATATGGCCATAATCTGGCTATAACACTTGAATTGGCTCACATTGGCTGTCAACATCACATACTTCTATTGTGATCTACCAGATGACGCAACACGCTTCACGCTCGTTACGTACGCAGGTACTACGGCGTACCAAAAGCCGATTAGTGGCAAAGGACGCCACGTAACGCAAGGCGCTTGCGTGATGCGTACGTGGCACCATTCCGCAGTACTAAAACTCTCTATTGAGACAGCGCGCTCACGCATGACCGCATGTATAAGAGCGGTAGTCAGTGTGACAGTGCTAAGTAACCGCGAATGAAGAAATAAGGAAGCTATAATATTTGGGAAAAGATCATTGTATGCCAGAAAGGTGCCAGCATTTGCTTGCCCTGCTACGACGGGTCGAAATATTTCAGTAGTTTTCCAACAAAGACAGTGACGAAAATATGTGACAACACCCACTTGCGACACGATCGCACTGTCGGTGGTAGTATTGTCTTAGCCTATACGAGGGAAAGCTGGGACAACCAAATTACGTTAGCGTGACCTGGAAGAACTCGTTCTAGCGCGCCATCAATGTTGAAACTTTAGTTGCTCAGGCAGCATGTTTGGTGCAGCGATTGTCCGCGTTGGCGTAGATGCTAGAATTGTGGCACACAGCCACGCCGGGTCATTGGCCAACGTAGATAAAATATTTCACGTAAGGAAAATGAAATAATTTGTCATTTTGTTTACCCCGATCTTTTTATCAAAATCATTTTAATAAGAAAGGTGGGGAACATATTCATTCCTATATAGTTCAAATAAATTTAATAATACTAATTAACATTTAATCCTGTTATCTTTACTCCGTCGTCTGTATGTTTGGTGCAGCGTTCTCGCGCTGCGTATCTGTGGTGACCTGCTTTTACTGCGAAATCAGTCATATATATTTGCAGAATGTTGAACTGCACTTAACTTTATCGTTTTTTGTCACTGTCACCCCTTCCCGCAGAAACGTGCGGAACGCAGGGAGCTCGGTTCGAGGCAAACCGCGGCGTGCCACGCATCGGTTCGTTCGAGCGATCCCGCCGCCACCGCCATCATCATCAGCTGCGTGACGTCACACCCCGCGGTGACGACGCGCCGGCTGCGTCACTTTCCGAGGGGGTGTGTGCTGGAGCCCGAGCAATGAGGTGCGCCGGGAGCGCGATCGAAGCGCGGACCGTTCAATAGCAGAGCGAGCCGGGAGCCGCGCCGCCGACACACCCTCTATTTCTGGACCGCGTGCTGTTCCCCCCGCCAGACGAGCCCGAGGCGAGCAACCGTCGACCTGCCCTTCCTCTCCTTCCTCGTCGGCTGTCGCCGGCTTCGCTCCCCTGTCGGCAACACCGATCTGCAGTGCAGCCCTGAAGCTAGCCGAGGAAGTTGAATCTTCGCACCGCAGACCCTGAATTCCCCACCCTCCCTGGTAAGCAACGCATCGTTCTTAGCCTGCGTGTAGACTGTAGGTCGTTTTCAGTGCCAAGGTTTCGGTGGGTCCGAGTTCGAAGTGCCTTCTCCAGAGCGCGCTCGTATACCCTGCATCCATGGCGACGACCGGGGGAGAGTCGCACAGACGCAGGGCCAAAAACCTTGGTGTTGAGCGTAGCGCGCTTTTCATGCGCAGTCGCGATGGTTTGTATACCGCAGACGTGGTTCACGATCGGCGTCTGTGAAGCGAAGCGCAGCGCTGGGACCTAACAACTGCCCATTATTTTTGCTCGTAGCTAGCAAGCAGCCAACTAGTCAAATGCCGCTTTGTACCTATTTCCGCATGTATACCGCGCGGGCATTTCGTGCTTTAAGAGGCCGTTTGATGTTACGCGGTGCAAGCACGGGCTGATGGAGTTATACGCGCTACAAGACGCGTACTTGGGAGGACGCACAACTGTGCGCGAACTTTTACGCGTGCCACGCCTTCTAGAAGACCACTTGCACGCGGTCGAGTGTGACGTATTGTAATAGTGAGCTGCCGGCATCTGGCGAAGCTTTCAAGAGCGCGGGCACTGCGGAGGGAGAGGATGCTTCAGCGTATGCGGACGCCTGTAACGAGTAAAATCTGGATAGTGTGGGCCGCAGCAATCACTTCGAGGAAATACGCGAGGCAGCTCGAGGTTAACAATGGTGTTTGCCCTTTGGTGGAGTGCGTCATTATCTTGTCTTTTATTATATTCCTGGCTCGTGAAGAAACTTCGTGCCGACCTGTAAGATCAGCTTTTCGACATTTGACGGCGTCAGATAAAAAAAAAGAATCTTTTCGAAAGCAACAACGAAATCGAAAGAAGCATTGTTGACGCTCGTATTGGCAGTGACATTTCGTGCCAATATTAAAGTCGGGATACGTTAATCAATTGATGTGCCAGGATATTTTTATCAGTTCGAGCTATTAACGTAAAAAAAAAAAAAACACGGACATATCTCGTCAGCTACCTTTCTGCACGCATGCGCCAATATGAATTTTATTTTAAGGCTGCATTAGCTGAGTGCCTTCTTTTTCGAAATCGGGCTTTTCAATACCCCAAGCTTTCGCCACGAGTTTAATATGAAAACGTGGCCTGAACCCGTGGTTCGTCGAGATAAGCGCGATTTTGTCGAGGCATGAAACCCTTGCTTCTGAACAGTTTTTGGGTGATGAAAACGGAGAAACCCTGTAGATTAAATCAACCGATCTTTTGCCGGAATGCCAATGGGTGCCTGTTAACCTTTTTTTCTACGCAACTTTGACTGCTCGTTCTTATATAGACCGCTCATGTTGCGCCTTAATTGGCGAACGTGTCGCGTCGACCTCGAATATGTAACACAGGAGCCCTTGAGCTGTAATCGGAGCCTTTGTATCACCTAAGGTTCGGAATAGATATATCCATTTCTTTACACCTTTAAGTACAAGAAAAAGCTTGATGGCGGCCTTGCACTTGTAAAATTTTTCTGAAAAAAAAAAATGTGATAACGCTGAGCCCCAGGGCAGCGACTCCTTGTTAACGAGAAGTGGAAGGCGATAAATGGGATGGGGACAATGGCAGCATAGAGTCTCGCAGTCCTATTAAGCGCCGAGAGGGTTTTCATGTTGTATAGCTTTAGCCTTTGGTTGTTGCTATATTTTGCCATATGTTCGTCAGTGTAGTGAAGGGGTAGCTATAAGGCATTATCGCTCTTGATTTTGATTCTTGCTATCAGTGACCTGTAACAAATAAGTTTTGTTTAAATAAACGATACGATGAGATGCTGACGGCGAGAGTTTCGTATACAAGGAGTAATGCAAGCACTGTATGACGTTTCTTTTATACTCGCAAGGTTGTACAAAATCACGCAGTATGCTGGCACATGCACGTTCGTCCTAAATTTTTGTGTCAAACTCGCGGTAGTTCGAATGCTCCGGACGGACGTATTTCGACGTCCGTGGCGACACAATGCCCTATAGATAGAAAGTAACTGCTTACAAAAATGCTGACAACAGCTGTATAGGCCACGGAATTTTGCATTTACCTGATGCTATATTCCGAATGAATGTTTGTCATCCCTCATTTGCTAACTTTCAGCGCAAATATGCGTAAATAAAATAAATGACGTAACAACATCGCAGTGCCAAAAAAGAAAGGGGGGGGGGGGGATGGCTGCGAAAGTGTGCGAGACGCTGAGTATGATGAGAGATCTTGATGCAATGTTTATTGTTCAGATTTATCACCCATCTAAGGATATTTATGCGCGGGATATTAAACTCAGAAACAACTAAAAAAAACGACTTAGAAAAGAGGCTAAATGTCGGTACTTCCAAAGCAGCTGTTCTCGCTCGTACGGGCTGCTCATGTTCCGGGTTTGCAGGATCTGTGTACCAGCTCTGCCGCGAATGTACGGTTATCGCGCAGGCTGGTTCAGAAGAATTTGCGCAAGACTGTGCACTTCTGACAGCGGTGTTAATCGCATAGGCAGATGTGTGGCTAAAACTTTGTGATTTTAAGCACCGTTGATCGCGCGATTAATTTCAAGCGTGCACCGTGATAGAGAGGGGGAGATCAAATCCACTTTGTTTTGTTTGTTTGTTTGCCCGATAATTTGGACCGCTCACTTCGAGACTTGATTCGACGGTTGCGCAGGACATTCACGCATAGAAATGGATACATGGGCGCGAAACGACAGGATGGAAGGAGAGCACTATAGGACTGACGTCTAGATAATATGACCACCTCGGTGGAACAGTGGCTGGGGTTGCGGGTTCGATTCGATCGAAGGTCGCGGGTTCGATTCCCGCCGCGGTGGTTGCATTTCGATGGAGGCGAAACGGTGGAGACCCGTGTACTACGCGATGACAGTGCATGGTAAAGAACAAAGAACTGTCGAAATTTCCGGAGCCCTCCACTATGGCGTCTCTCATAATCGTGTCGTGGTTTTGGGACGTGAAACTCCTGATAATATTAGTCTATATAATATGACAACTATTTACATACAAAATAAGAAGGAATTTCTTATATATGATGTACATAGCTGCTTTTATATGGCAACTCTGTTCATCTACACAAAGTAGCGGGTAGGTAAAATTTCACCCGCAGTGCGCTCGTGTATGGCACGGTACTGTTTGTCATGTTCCGCAGACTGGCCGCCGGGACAGCCATACCTAGTTTCCGACCCCTTCCAGGGCTGACCCCTACGAAATCGCCAATACACATAGGCCACAGATGTGCACATGAGCCGTGCACATGACAACAAGTGCACACTTGTGGCCACACATGGCCTCGTACACACAAGTGTGTTTCGTCCGAACGTTAGGAGGTCCCCATTGTGTTTTTTTTTCTTGACAGTTGACATTTCGGGCCTCTGACGAAACATTTCTGGATATTTGTTGTTTATTGCGTAGACTGAGATGGTTAGTTACTCCACATGCTATAACTTTAGGTAGCAGAGTTGGGCGTTTATTTTTCTAAACGCCGGTGGCAACCGTGCATGGCGGAGAAGCTGATGCTCAGGACAGCGTAGCTGTAATTGGTCCCTTGAGTATTACTCATCACGGCAATGTCCATCAGCGAATTGCAGGCCACTAAGACACTCCCCATTAACCCTTATCACTAACTGTTCCCTATTTATAGTGTCCTGAAAACCTCCTGTAAACACGCGGCGAATAGCATTGGAAAGATCGTGTCTCCCTGCCTTACACCCTTCATTATTGGGATTCTTTCACTTTCTTTATGGAGAACTATGGTGGCTGTGGACCCTCTGTAATTTATTCCAGTATGTCTATGTAGGATTAGTCGATGCCCCGATTCCGTAGTGCCTGCATCACTGCTGATGTCTCGACTGAGTCAAACGCCTTCTCATATTCTATGAAAGCTATGTATAGGAGTTGGTTGTATTTCGCGCATTTCTCTATTACCTGATAGATAGTATGAATATGGTCTATTGTGGTGTAGCCTGTACGGAATCCTGCTTGGTCCTTTAGTTGATTGACCTATAATGTTGCCTTAGCTTTATTAGCTATCATTTTTGTAAGGTAGTTTGTAGAGAACTGACAGTAAGCTGACTAGGTTTGGAATTTTTCAAGTCCTTGGCGTCTCAATTTTTATAGATTAAAGTGGTGTTGACGTTCTTTCAAAATTTTGGTGCCCTTCCCGTCAAGAGACACTTCTTATATAAGGTGGTCAATTTTTCTAACAAATTTTCTCCGCCATCTTTCAGCAGGTCCGTTGTTAACTTATCTTCACTAGCGGGTTTGCCTATTTGCATTCCTTCTAGGGCTTTGTTTTCCTGAACTTGACATGGAAAGCAGAAGAGCAGGTCCGAAAATTAATATGTACAAAAGTAAAGTAATGTGCAACAGTCTCGGCAGAAAACAGCACTTTGCGATATGTGGAGAGACGCTGGAAGTTGTAAATGAATGTTACAGACAGGTAGTAACCGCGGAGCCGAACCATGAGAGTAAAATGACTAGAAAAGTAAGGATGGGGTGGATCACATTCGGCAAGCATTCTCAAATCATGAATGGTAATCTGCCACTATAACCTTACAGTCTGTCTCATAATCATTTCTATAAAATCTAAAAAATTAATAAACAAATGCTTGGTCACGCAACTCACGATATTGCGACGACATAATTTTCGTAAGTGGAGACTGCTGTGGTCGGCGCTTTTTTTTATGCACCTAACTAGCTTCTCCAAACGACTGCAGCCAGACCCAGGTAAGAGAATGGCGAAGGAAAAAAGAAATCCAGTGACTAAAATATTCGGACCTTATCCATGAGCTTTGTAGACTGTTTAGATACCACGGTGTTTCGATTTTATACTGAGGGGCGTTCTTTAGCACGGCGGAGCATTATCGTTCGGAACAAATGCCACGGTGACATTAAGAAAACGATGACGTCTTTGCGAAATGACAGCAGCAAAACGGCCACGTCGTGACAGTTTTCAAACACCTGGAAAGGTCAGTTCATCTCAAATGAACCTG